TAAGAGGCCGGGTCCAGAGAACCCACTCGCACGCGGTCGACGGTCAGAGAACCCCGGGCCTGAGAAGTGCGTTACTAAGAAGGATAGGTTTTGCTCCCGGGTTTGCCTGCCTTAAAGTAGGGTTAGTCCAACAGTGAAGGCATCCCTCAACAGCTCCTTTTTACACAGGTGGTAATGTGTAAAAGCGTATAAAACCACATCAACAGACTAGTTTGGGTTTATTGATGACTTTTGTTGTCCTATCTGCAGATATCTGTCTAGTGAAGCATCAACACAGTGAAACATGGCGTCAAACATGTCGTCACATTGGGAATTATGGCAATGCAGATTTCTATAGGATCTCATACACGCTAACTGGCTAGAAAAAACCTTAGTCCCATAGTCCTTAGTATTAAACCGCCAGAACTGCGTGGGGAGGGAATAACCAACTTACCCACAAAATAGATCTATGTATTTTTATTACGACTTTTCATAGATGCCGATAATCGCTTTGAAGTATTGCTGAATGCTTGCTTGACAACAATATTTTATAGAAAAAGTACATTTCTTGGTATAAGGCTTATCTTGTAATAGACCGGTACCCACAAATTTTGTTGGCGTCATTTATGAGTCACAGAAGAACTAGCAATAATGTGCTGGCACTCGTAAATATTTATAAATATATCGTTTGTGACTATCATGAATATATAATTGAATAGTTTAAACCTGTGCCATTAAAACAAATAATTTTGCACCTTAATGTTGCACTACATTATATAAATGAGTGCTGTACCATTATAATTCTATCTCAACAAATACAAAACGACGTGACATTATTTACTAATTTATTACTTTTTGTCGGCATTTGTCACTATTAGCTTAAACGGTGGACGATAAAATTAATAAATGTTAGATTTTTTGTGTGACAGTCTCGCGACCAGGAGTTACCATATTTAAATCGCGAGCAATGCGTTTAGTCACAGATAAAGGCGATATTTCAAGATATGGATCAGGAAATAGTCGACATTATTGTTTAATGGCGATCAATTATTGCAATAAGATAAATATTCATGTCGTTGGCCATTGCCCTCGGCTCCGGCGCGGGCCCAACGCCCAATAGACGCGCCACAGACAAAAACTCCGTGCTTTAATATTTGTACTTTGTTTTATTCTCTAAAGATTAATGGCATCAAAATGTAAATGCAATTATAAATATACTATTCTTTTTATATCGAAATATTATCAATTTATTATTTGTGTCTAACTTTGACTTTTAATAGTGTTTAACACTGTGTCATCGTCGTTATGTTATTAGTTTACAAGGATTAGGTACACCTGTATACTGGACCTAATTAAATATCTTGTTCAATAATTCTAAAACGTGATAGTACATGTGAACACCTATGGTTTGTAACGAGATTCTTAACAACCTAATTTAAAAGGAAAATTCCTACAGGCTTTGACCGACTGCCAACCAACTGGCAATACCTGGATCTGATTTTAGAACATTCAATAAAGTCGCTCTAGGATGACACACATGAGGACAGAGTGATGGAATACTAATCCTTCCGAATATGTTTTGCAACTGCTCCAATCGTAAGCACTGTCGATCAAAGTACTTTCCCAAATTATCTATACGATTTTGCCATTTTAATGGCAGTTTGTTTATCCATTTACTGTAGAAGACTGCTGGATGGCAGGCGATGAAGTCAGCAAAAGCGTAGTTCATCTGGCACCCACTTATCCACTTTCCGATTTGACGCAAGTGCTTCAATGTTGTTTTGATACTAACTCCAAAGCCCGCAGCAAGTTCAGCCGTAGATTGAGTTTGATCCGCTTCCACTATCGCCTTCAATTCGTAGTAAAGACCGTAGTTCGTAGTAGCAGCCAACCGCGAAGCACGTTTTTCAACTCAAAACTTCAAGATCTAAAACGATTGAACCAATAATAGACCGTGACTATGCATGTAGTGTTAAGCCCGTACACGTCGTTAATGTTTCTTGTTGTTTGCGCAGTGGTCTTTTAACGTGGGAACCATATTCGAAAATTGTACGAATTTTCAGCGTTTCCAATCCACAGATAATTAAATCTGAAAATGATGGTTTTAAAAATCTCCAACTTTATAGGTAAGACCTATTATTATACTTTTGACATTATCAATATTACAATACATATTTGTAATTGCGCTTGCTTGTGTTGGCGAGTCGCAGGGGGGCCCAAAGGGCACGATAGCTTGGAGGGAGGAGTTACGCACGACGCGATGACATTCGGTGTTATTATTCCTTACGAAGTTATTTGCGGCTTATTATAAAAATATTTATGTCAATTCTAGACTGGTGCTCTTTTGGTGTGGCAACGGAAAGTAACGAAAAACATACTAAACTTGAAATATAAGCGATAAACATGTTTATAGGTTTTGTGCTTCTGAGTTCAACTTCTTACGGGACTGGAGGAAGAGACATTTAGTTTCGACCCACAGTATTTAGCGCCTTCTGGTAGGGATTCTATGGAGTTAGCAGCATTTCGTTGTGATGGCTCCTGGTCCCGACAGCTGCTATCTCTTCATTACTTGTATTTACTCATTCAGCAGTATAGACGGTTTAATCACCAACAATTTTGACTAAAGAACTTGTGAAGACATCCTGAATTACGTAATAGCTACTAACTACATCGCGCAATAAATTAAGAGTTCTCCCACTGATCATATAATATCGGCTTCGTTCAGGACCCAATTTTTAAAATTGGGATTGAGCAGCGAATAACTTATATTTTACATCAACTATTTGATCCATCTCCTTTCTAAGGATAGGCCTATGTCCAGCAGTGGACTAGTATAGGCTGTTGATGATGATTGATGATTTGATCCATCCGCCCAAACAAAACTTAACTTGTCTTGAGTTGTCGCTTGAGGCACTTTATAGGCAATAATATTTATAATATTTTCGGCATTAAGTCCGCCTTTGTCACATTTGTGCATAAAGTGTAAATAAATAAAATAAATAAAAATTGTGTTCATCCAGATATCTTTATGCCTAAAACTAATTAATATTTCCTTATCTGGTATATAATTTTGTAATTATAGCGAGTATCGACAACCGGCGGTGATTTATGTAAACCCGACTCGTGCGCACAGGTGTGCTCGTACTTGAGTTATTAATTACTATATACCTGTACCTGGGTACGTACAACTTGTATCACAAAATACTATTAATCAAGTTGTTAATCACTTCGAGATTTCACTATAAGGATACAACGTATGGTGCTATTAATGTTAAATGTCCTTACCCTCGAAATGGTGGTTGATTCTGTACCCTATGTTTTATCATTATTATAATTAGACATTATGTGGGGGATTTCTACTTATTCATTCAGATAATTACAATCTTTAATCATTGTATGTGTGTATGTGCAATACGTTGTAAGTGGACTATTAGTTCTAAAAACAAAAATAGTACGCACACACACGTATAGTATATTAACATAAAAAACATTATTATTACGTTAACAATATATTATGTTAAGTCTTGGGGTGAAGGAATTTTTTGTTTTAAAGTTATTGTGTTCCCTCTCGTGAGTACCACTATTCCGTTAATTACTTCGTAAAATACATTGACGATGTGTGGTGTGGTTGCTGAGTTCGAGTACTGATAAGTGAGCCAAAAAAATATATATTTTTTAAAGTCAACTCCCGCACTAGGAATATATCCTGTGTCGCGGGGGACTTTACAAATATACACGAAATGGACACAAAGAACACCCAGGCTCAGAACAACAATTTGTCGTGTTAGTGTTGGTTAGAGTAGCGATATTCAATACTATATTGATATGATGCGTGGGAGGACGCAACTTCGCAACTAAAACTTATAATATTTTACAAAATCCTAACTTTAGCGAGTCAATATTTTGCTTCAATTGCTTTTCGAATAAGTACCTAACTACTACTTCTCTAAGGTCTCTTTGGCAGAAATGTTTCACCAGATTGTTTTTGTTATTGTTGTTATTATAGTTTGTAACTCAACCTCAGTAGTAGTAATATAAAAAGTATCGTTATTCCACAAAAGTGTCCAGTATTCCACAAAGTCTGAACTGCATTATAGGAAACGTCGACATAATATAAAAACAGTAAGTTAACAATAAACAGAGTAATACAAAGAGATTAGGTTTTTTTAACATCCTAAGAGACGTTAAAAAGAGTTTAAAACTACACGGCCTTAGGTTGTAGACACAGCTGATCCTAGCTCGCTTTGTTTAACTAGCGCATCGGCTAGAAATAACACTGCTTTTTATTAACATACAATCAGTCATTGTGATCTGAAGTGTATTGAAGCATTACTAGGTTATTCTTGACACATTTTTGCTGTTGTTATGGCAAGGGCCATACGAGAGAAAATTTTATGGAATCAACCCAAGTATTACATTGATTTCAGAAAAAATCCATGTACTTATAAAATAACTAGCTAAATTAGCTTCTTATCTATTTAAAAAACTGTTATTTAGTGTATATGTGTGCGTGTGTGTGTTATTCAGAGAGAGTAGTCTGTTTGGCAATACGAGTAATTTTTTTTATAATATACTTCGTGTGATCTGATTGAATCCTGTCCGAACTTATTTATTTATTTTTACACATCATGCACATTTGGTGCATTTGTGGACTTAATGCCTACGGCATCTTTACCAGTCAAAGATTGGGTGATGCAGGAAGAAAACAAGAAGTAGGTGCATTTACTTAAAATTCGTATCGTAATAGATAAACTAAATAATATAAAAACACATAATATGTAAACCTATCATACACTAGAACCTATTCACATTATACGTATAAATAAATACCTATAACTTAAATAAAAAAAAATAAAAAAAACTTACTGCCTTACATTTGTTTTAAAAGAAAAATTGTTGGTGGCTATCCTGATCTGGAGGGAAGCTCATTTCAAAGAAGAATGGACTGAACAACAAAGGATGAGCCAACAGACAGTAATCTGTTGAAAGAATGCACTGTTAGTAAATGTTGGAACACTTACCTAATGGCATGACATGTCCAAAGTGGTGCGAGTCGCCGACGCCGGAGCAGTTCCATCGCCTTCCCGCCAGCTGCAACCGACACTCGGCGTACGCCATCCTGGCGAGGAACAACTGCTTTTAAAAACTCATCCATTTATTACAAGACGTCCTAACGAATATTACACATGCGAATTGAATATTATACATTAGATATGAGGGACATACGAGTAGCGATCTAGCAACAGATCGCTGCTGGTATGTCCAAGAGTGATGTCTCGTTCCTAGATAAGGGGTAAGATGGAAATGTTAATATAATATGAGGTTGAGACCACCTATTATTATATTAAAAGCAAATAATTATTCTCCCAGGGCTATATGTAAACTGAGAGAAACCAGATGCTGTGTAACAACCAGAGCCTATAAAAGTGCTACAAGTGTGATGGTAATACAGTATTAACATAGCTGCAAAGAGATAAAATTAAGTGGACTTTATTTTTATGTAATTTTCCATGAAATTTGTTCATACGGTAAGGTTTCACTGCTTTCGGTTCTTAAACCACTATTGACTATGACAAACATAAAATTAAAAATTTGCCGGACTATAGTAATAATAATACTTTATTTACGCAAAGATTTACATATTTGAATACACTGTTGATGAAAATTTACAAATTTTGTATTAGAGATGTGGAACTCTGCCGCTTGATCTAGGTGAATTGCCTGTATCTTTAGATCCAGTGTTCAGCCTTTCAGATTCATCTTATATTAGTTCTGTTATAGCTGTGTCTTTAGATACGAGTATATAATATACAGTTGGATGTTTTTACTAAACAAACTTAAATAACTCACTACATATTGAAAGTGACTTGTGTATGTTTTTGTGGCTAGGTATGTGTTCGTGCGTGTATGTGTGCTTGTGTGTGTGTATGTGTGTGTATGTGTATGTGTGTGTGTATGTGTGTGTGTATGTGTGTGTGTATATGTGTGTGTGTGTGTGTAGGCGCAGAAGATTCTAAGAGTGTGCTAGAAGACATTATTATATTTTAATTTAATTAGGCTATTTCCTAGTTGAGGTACATTAGTAACGACTCCGTGCTGGAATAGTCTTGGTTCAGAAGCCATTCTCTAACTTTCACTGTGCACCTATTTAAACCTAGTATTTTTAGTTCTTTGTGTGTTTTTATGTAAATTTGAGAGCTCAATAAATAAAAGTGGTGTTTTGCGAAAGCGGTTCTGTGTCGGACTCTTAGTGGTAGCTAACTAACCTACGCTTCTCAGGATTAGGGCGAGGGAGACCACTATGTTGTAGAATTGATTGGAGCACAAACAGTTGGCGAACACTTAGCACTTTGCAATCGGTGTACAATTGAGATGTAGGATACCTCAACGGCTTTCTTGACATTGTCTTGAGAATAGCTCTTTGTGCTCTCTCTAATCCAAGATGTGGTGTCTTATGTGTGCCACCCTAAACCGTAATGCAATATCCTATGACGGATTGACATAACGCAAGACCATATACCGTTTTCAGGGTTTCCCAGTAAGCCGTGTCTGGGTTCTGTTTATGAGTGCGTTGATTTGTTTGTCCCATTTTAGGTCATCGTCTAGTAGAACCCCCAGGTACCTCAGAAAGTCGGTTTTCGTTATCAGTGAGCATGAGCATGGGTCTATTGAACCTGTACATGAGTGTGCTTTAAGGTAAATGTGTCAAGTGGCTTTGTAATATGTCATAGTGTGAATGGTATGTAGACAGTCTTTGTTAAATTTAGAGCCAGTAGGTTGTGATTAAACAATGTCATCACATGATTCAGGGCTGACTCCGCGTTCATTTTAATGTCCCTCCAGTTAGATACACAAACGAAAATTGCAGTGTCGTCGACGTAAGCGTAGATTTTGCATCTCATGAGAGTTAGCTTTGCAAGGGTCATTTATGTACATCTGGAAAAGGATTGGTCCTAGCAAGCTGCCCTGTGGAGCACCATATAATGAATATTGCTCGTCGCTGAGACATTTCTCTAGCTTAACACATTAAGTTCGTTCCGTGAGATAGTTCCTAAATAGATCTTAATTGTTTTTAGGTGAATTATCAGTAACTTGGTAAGAAGTGGTAAGTAATGGCAAGCCTAAGTTTGGTGACTGCTAAGACGCGATAATTGATCATTTGCTCACCAAACTGCCCAAAGTGGCAGATTGGTACGGTATTTTAGCTGACGCACGTCACATGCAGACAGTTTGAGGGAATAATATTGTAGTAAACTGTGACTGGCGTGTGAAACATGCTACAAAAAGAACCACACAAGTCTTGTTTTTGGTGCAGCCTGGAGCACGGTAATGATAATTATTTTTAAATTGAATTTATTAGGTTGAACAATTTTATGTTATGACATAGAAAACATGTACAATATTTAAAGTGCACCCTTACAGGCATCACACATTACATAACCCTTAGGTTTCTGACCCGTATGAGGAGTAATACTAGAGATGAAGTAGATTTAGTCAAGCAATTCAGGCATCAGTTGGAACAGAACTTGTTTCCGAATGAACGGTGGTCTTAGAGGTGAGACGATCCGGGTCCTCTCCAAGGTAGGGTGCCTGAGGCCTGAGATTTTGAGAGGAATACATGGAAATCTAAACATATTTACAATACGATCTGGAGCGTGAGTGAAAATCGAGCTAGTCGATGGTGCTAGTAGTTGGAAAGAGAGAATCGGTAGTTATGGGAAATCTTGACAATGAGTGTGTACCTGAGGCCATCTCCGATGGCGGCCACGGCGGCGGGTGAGGCTCGACATATGGCGCGCTGCCTCTCGGTGAGGCCGGCTGCGCGCGCGCACACCAGCGCCGCCCCTAGGGACTGGCCGCTGCCGCCACCTGACACTGACACACTGCAACACAAACATTGAAATTATTGCCTTCTTCATTCTTCTTTATATCGATGTGAGTGTGGTTCAGAGTATTTTTTTGTAATATTTAATAGGGGCAAACGAGCAGACGGGTCACCTGATGGAAAGCTGGCTATGATTTACAAAGTTAGGTTTTTTTTATACAATTGTAATACCAATCTGCATATGTCGGCGCTTATTGTATTTTTTTTTCCGTCTGGAAACCCCCGCGGGCTGTCACCCCCACCGGGGTTTTCGGCGGGCTGGTGTGTCGGAATCGGACCGACTAAAACCACACGGTGTGCCTGTCGTCTTAAGCCAACCTCGGTGCGTTGGTTGGTCTGAGACGTTGTTTTGGCGACACATCACTTAATAAAAAAGCAGAGCAACGAAATGACAAGCTTTAGAGGTAAACCATTAATTGACAGTGTTTTTGTGGGTTTGTGGAGTGATGTTTATCTTGTTAGAAAATATCGTCTTTTAATTAATTTACAGATTCTATTGAAATGTGTTGTTTTGTTTTCAACATTATTCGTTTTACTTTATCAAAAACCGATGACTCCAATACAGAAAAGTCCTCAATGTCTGTCTAATTTTAATCGTGGAAATGGTCTGAGCTGTGTGCTAGAACTTAAAGAGTAATTTAGTTATTCATTTGCATTATTGACAATATCATGTCTTCTGGATAGAGGCAGGTGGAGTCTAGAAGAGTGACAACAGAACAGCAAATGCTTTAAGTTACGAAAGAGAGTCTGACATACTTACTTAGTCATTATTCATATTTCCCAAACAGATAGTCGACCGGTGGGAAGCCTAATTATTGTAACACGAATGGACCGTCGTGAATGTATTGTCACGAGCACATCATTCAGAGCCCGCGCCACCGACCGTGGTTCCGCTGTGCGCATCTGGGCTGAATGTCGCGGAAATTGCAATTATATACACCGCAGCGAATAAACAAACGTGGTTTCCTGTCCGACGGAAAATGATGGCAATTTCAATTTAATTGTGAGACATGTGAGAACATTTCTGTTGTTGGAGGAGGGTAATTTCATATTTGGATGAATAGTCTATCTACACCTATTGCGCTGTTTTTGATTTCACATATAAAGTAATAGTCATATTCACAATGCAGTAATATTTTAGTTTATACAGTAGCAAACTCAATATAATTCTTAAAATCCCTTTTAAATGGGGAATATACATAAACTGATAAAATGAATAGAATAAAAAAACACAGTGAAAATGTTTGAAGTAAACGTAAAAAAAATGCTTATATTGTCTGTTCCAGTTGTCTTATTGTCAAATCATGATGATTTAGGGTAAAGGTTTGACACCAAGGCTCAATTCTAATCGTTGTTTCAAAACATTGTTGAAAATATGTTAATGACATCTAACGATGGGCAGCGGAACTATTAACTAGTTACTATTAACATCATCTGTCAGAATGCAGCCAGAACTAAGAATCATATCTATACATATATTCGAGACAAGGCCAAAAATCTATTAAAGTGTGGACCTTGTATAATAATAACAAACGTACCACAGAACAGACAGACCCGAACTCTTTAGTATCCCGATGTGCACAATTAACATCCCCACACACCACACGCCCACCTGACATCACACGCCCGCGCTAAACATAATAATTAAAAAGCTTGCACACGGCCAACACAAGAAGATAACGTTGTGTCGCATCGACAATACAAAAGAACTATCACTTTCAAAGCTCAAATTAACAAGTTTTCTAACAAAACAGAGTGTAAATGTATATTTGTCACAGTCGTATTTGTTTTCTTAATTAATAAGGCATTGTTCGCACTGTCAGATAGTCGCCTGTCGAGACAGCGTGGGCGCCGCGAGTCGCGACTCGGCGTTAATTGGCGAGGCGAATTACCGACGACGTATTAATGAAATACACCACAACGTCACAGATAAGCGGTCCAATTCACAAAAGCCGACAGAAAATTCAACTCTTGTCTCTGTTGACACTGAGAATATTTTACCGTGACCGAAAAAATGTTAGTTATGCATTCGCGTGGTTTACTGTACGGCAGTGTGGGAAAGCGGCATTGATTGGTGGCAACGACCAGTCTTGGGTGAAATCGAATAAATAAATGATCCATACTAATACTAATATTATAAATGCGAAAGTGTGTATGTCTGTCCGTCTGTTACCTCTTCACGTTAGATCGTGGATCGAAAAACCAAAGTTACGTAGACTTAGTAGACTCTGATAATTGCTGTACGTGCGTGGTCAACTTTCCTCACCAGTTACAAGTTGGTGTAGTTATACGTTACGTACACACATATTTATGTTATAATTTTTCCGTATTTGTTATTCCAACAGCGAGCACATACATAACGTAAACTTTGTGAGCTTTTGATTTATTTTAATGACATGTCGTGAAAAGAAATTTTGATGTGTATTAAAACACCACGTATCTAACGTATTTATTTGGAAAAGGAATATTACGCTATTGTTCACAATAGTTTCGTAAATAACCCATTTTTTATTATAATATGTAAAAGATAAAAAATGGTTACGATATAGACATCTATGTATATGTTTATCTCCTACAATTCTGTAGTACCTACATTATTTTGATCTATCTCTTAAGGGTTTTAGCCAACATTTTTAATTTAAGAGCACAAAAATGTGTTTTTACGACTTCACATTATTTAGAATTGTTCTTTGAAATTCTCTGATTTTATCTACTATCATCATCATCATCAGCCTATCGCAGTCCACTGCTGGACATACGCGTCTCTCATCGCCTGTATTGATATTTTTATCCTCTACTAAATATGCATTTATTCTGCATATAAACTTGCCTCTTGGTTTACTTTCTGTATTAGTGAAAACTGATTTAAAATCCGTTGCGAAGTTTGAAACATCTAAGCGTGCCTACAATTTCAAAAATTTCAACAAAACAAACGAATTTCTTTCTACGATACGACGTTGACGCTATCAATATAAGTAGTAGTACACGTGAATCACTTCCAAGTATGCAACGCGTTGCCAGATGCAAGCGGCCAGCTAACATGTGCGCCTTATAAATGACTACAATCTGTATAAGTAGAGTTATCGGGCGTTGTTTAATATCTCCAGTGAATTATTTACGAGGCATTCCTTCATTAGAAACGTATCTCATCTGCGCTTTTATAGTCTTTAACATCAATAAAGTAAAAATAGAAAATGTTTAATTTGCATATTAATATCCAGAGAAAAGTATTAAATACTAGTGAGGCAATAATATAGTTTTAATTAAAGTCGTATAATGAGTACAGCGCGTCACGACGTGACGGGGCGGCCGGCGGCCGTGGGAGGCGCCCGCGCACGACACACGCCTATCTGCAGGGTTCACACAGCTCAGCCTGGTCACTCATTGATTGCTTTATAGCTATTATATTAATTTTCATATTCCCAGTGTCACTTGAACAATTAAGACCAAAATCCATCAAGCTGTTTAGACTACAGAGCGTGCAAAAGAAATATATGCACATACTATTATTATCATACATGCACTCATAACTGAACCCTCCTTCTGGCGCAGTCGGGTAAAAAGAACTAAATAAAGAGTTGAATTAATTAAAATTTAGCTTGAGCAGCTCGAAACTGAGACTTTAAATGCGAATGTTACAAAACGTGTAAAATAATATTAAACCCATTGCTTTTTAAATAGCTGAAAAAAATCATGTTTTTCTGTTGATTTTGCGGACGTTTTTGTGTGACACAATAGTAATAACAGTAATAAACTTAAAATAAGGTATGTGTGCACAGCCCTAGTGGCTGGCAATGAGTAACGCGCTGTTTGCGCAGAGTCGCAGCATCAATGCTCAGATTGTTTCAAGCGCAAACTCACTGCAGTTACTCTATTAACTTCTCATTATGTTAAGCGCTGCAAATAATCATTTTGAAATTAAAACAAAACTCCGATCTTAAGTACCACGTCACTCGGTAAAGTCGTTAAGAAACGACACACGATGTTCCATCTCGTCTATTTTCCGGAATTCCGTGAACTCCGTGTTACCGTGAGCCAATCTAAAAAGCCGTTTTTTTGAATTTTCACTGCACTTTATTAAGTGATTGAGGATGATGCCCTCAGAGTCAGTTAGCTTTACACCTCTATTAGGAGATACTTTCTATGTCTTAATTTGTTAAAACAGTTGCGTTAAATATCACATTTTTGGCGGTACGTGTTTCATGTTACATTTCAGCTCTTTTGTTTTAAGTACTGAACGCACCCAAAGCACCCTCACGGGCTGGTCGTAGCTTAGTCTGCAATCACCGCCACACTTTCTAATTCTAATAACATAAGCAACGTTCGATCAAGTTATTTATCGATAACATTAATAACAGGCCAATCAGTTGGACACAGTTGAAACTGCTGGCTCGTACCGACTTCATTGCGACCACAGCTTTAATCGTTTCTCGTCGTGTTCCACCGATACTGTAATCACTTACTAGTTGACAGTTAAAATATTTACAAAAAAGGAACATGTTTGACCACTTATGGACATAAGATTCAATATAATATTAGCATCTATCTATCTTAGTTCAACCAAAAAAGTATTGCCAGCTCTAGAAATAATTTAACGAGCAACTTGGTGTCGGTGTCCGTCTCCATCACAGTACTTTACTTCTAAGATCCCACAAAAAGTATTTTTTCCTTTTTTTTATTGAAATCCAACCAGGCTGAACACTGAGAATCACACTGTAATACCCCAGGACCAAAGGCGACACCACGGGCCAGCGTGCGGCGCTTGCCCCATATCTACTGGATTCCTTGATCTCTAATAGGATATTAGGATTTTTTCGAAAAATAAAATATGATTAAGAAGAACGAATACCCTCTTAGAGCTGTGTGGAGAGCACGGGAACAAAAGAACATATCCAATCGCTTTGCCTATCAAATTTTGAATCACACAACTCAACTTAATTTTTTTTGCTCTGTTTACTCGCTAAGAATTCTCCTGATTTTTTAATACCTTTTCCCGATTTTACCCTACCTTAAAACAAATTCTTGCCTGGTAAATCTTTGCCATCGTGTCTATCACATAATAATATTTCAGACGAAAAAGTCAAGATGAGTTTTCATTAAGGGAAGACTACCTTTACCGCACCGCCTACGTCTCCTGGGTATTCTTTTTTCTATTTCTTCTTCGTAGCTTCAAATCTTGTTTAATGCTAACGAAATGGAAAGAATTGTAAGTTAATTGTTTTTTTTAAATGAACTTCAATTACATTGGCTTCTAATTAAACTCCAGATTATAAAAATAATTTATTTAAACGTATTTGGTTGTAATGTAACCCTAATCCATAAGCTCTGTCGAAGGTTTATTTAAACTATCTTCCTTTTTTTGATATCGATACTACTAAAACTAACCCAAACAAAAAGTACATAGAAAAAGAAAAACCGATTGACAGACAGTAGATAAGCTTGTACTGGGATGTTTCTTCTCTGCCAGTTTAAATATTGATATCTTAATTATACAGTGGTTTTGCGTCGACCCGGCGCGTTGTACTACACGTGCCGACTAGTATGTGATTCATCATTTTTTATGCATTTCGGACACAACAATCTTGTTTTACCTGAAGCCATCATAAATTCATTGATATTAAAAAAACAAATGCAGCTTTCTAAACAAGAACCACTTTCCTTGTAACAGTGGTTCTCGTAAGTCCTCTATCTGTGACAAACATTATAATAACTGATCTCAGTGCGAGGTGGTGTCGATAAAAATCGCGGACAAACGGAAACAGACCAGG